TGTGTGGTTTGTTAGGATAGGACAATATTTGGCTGAGATACAACTATTTGAAAATCTGGAATCTGAGCAAAAAAAATCTAAATATTGAGAAAATCGCCTTTAAAGTTGTCCAAATGTTCTTAACGCATATTACTAATCAAAAATTAAGTTTTTATATATTTACAGTAGGAAATTTACAAAATATCTTCATGGAACATGATCTTAATATCCTAATTTTGACACATACAATGTATTTTTGGCTATTGCTACAAATATACCCCAGCAACTTAAGACTGGTTTTGTGGTCCAGGGTCACATATAATTCCTACTTGTTAATTCGTTCCTGCGACTTGTTAATTTGTGGCCATGGTCTATGTTTCCTTAATTGCTTTTCTAGATAACCCACGATTTAGCTAAAATGAGAGAATTAATTAATGAGTTGAGCTGCCCCCTAATAGTCGACTAATCATTAGTCGACCAAAACAGGCTTGGTCAACCAAAATTTTATTAGGTCGCAGAAGGAAAAATAAAAAACACAAAAACACAAAAAAATCCACAGGCGAAGTCACGCAGTCCGTGACTAACAGATCATTAACGGCTAGTCTATGGTAATACAGTACATCGGGCAGGACATCCAAACGCTCACCTATCATTCATCGACCTCAAATATGGCTTATCATCTGAAATATGCAAGTATTAGCAACTTTACATGGCCACTCAATCTAATGTTAACCTAAAGAAATGCGCGCTGTTCAAGTGTCTGTGTGGAGTATAGAAGCTGAACACTGAACATTTTTGGTCATACAGATAATACATCTTTCAAATCTGTAAAGACTCTACATTTATTTGTGTGCACTCACAATACCGCGCTTTTGTAAAATAATAAAAGCAAACGTGATGCACTTTCTGCCGTCTTGGTCTCTGTGATCTTGAGCATGAAACTCCGTGTATATCTTTGCCTTACAGACATTAAAAATACATCTATAGAGAGTGAAATGTCTACTTTCAAATGAACCAATTATTTGGTTAATATTATTAAAATCAAAATTAAAACAAACATTCTCAGATTATGTAATCCGAATGAAACATGCATACAGGCGCATCCACTACTGCGGAGATGACGAGTCACGTGTCGCCGGCTTCATCTCTTAAACCCAAAACCATCAAAGCACGAGTTTATCAAATTATTCAAATGTTAATGCAGCCTCCTTACTGTTTTTCCCTGACACATTCATAATCATTACTTCTGTCGGTGCGCTGTGGCAAGCTTTATGCGTGTACTTGAGCTCTTATTAGGCCATGTAGGCAATTAAAGGCTCATTATAATGATTTAAATGGTTTATTAATAAACGTGCGATTAGTGGACTAATGCTTTAAATGAACGACTACTGGTCCAGAAAAATCCTTAGCCGAGGGCAACCCTATTAATAGCCCGAATTCTTAATTCATAGCCACAAAATCTTTCATTTCGCCCCCATTGTTTACCACAGTGAGAGATGCGAAAACAGGGATTAAAAATGAATGACAAGAAAATAAACCTGTGAAATTAGCAGGTGAGACAGTGAAGATTTGGGAAAAGAAACAATATTATTAAATTCCTGGAAGTTCATGACCAACACGCAAAACAGAACAAAGCCGCGTATAGGCTCAAACAGCATGAATCCAAAAGCATGGTCATTGGTCACGATGTAACATTTGCCTGCTTACCAATTATTTCTCTTATAAACTAAGCTTTGTATCTCACTTGTGTCATAATACTAAAATTTTTCATGTGAGCAACAGTGTTTTGCCGTAGCACCTCCGGTGGAAGCGGTTCACTGACCGCGTGGCACAACCCCACACGCCATAGTCAGGTTTGGGATCATTTTATTTTAAATGCCGATGTCAATTGCAAACATTGTGATTGTGTTTTAAAATACAACAACGAGCACCAAGAAACCATTTTAAAAGGCACATTCGGTCTCTGTGACAGGATATGAAACAAAGTAAAACGACCCCAAACGTAACTACGGCGCACTCTCTTAATTTTATCAAATGATCATAATCACATCCATTCATTTTACAATCCTGCTACTAGCCTTTTATTTAAACTAAAACCCCCTTTCATTCGGGTGAGGAAACTGGCGTTTTAAGTGGACATCTTGTAATGCCGGTTACTATCTGCCACTGCAATAAACGCATTTTGCAGTATTAAGGTTAACGATTAATCTATTCATTGATCGTTAATTTAAATGACGATCGATCATGGGAATGATCGAAAATTGACATCCCTAATATACACTCACATTCCGAGCTACACTGGCAGAACTTCTCACAGAAGTTTTGGGCAGTGACACAAGGGCAAGAACTGTCACACGGCTGGCGCGGGTGGTCACATGGCTGGTAATTGTACACATGATTGGAGGAGCCATCTGCAAGCAGAAATTTCACATATAATGAACATTTATACTTGTATTTTACTCAACTTTCACAATAGTGAAATATATTTCTATCTAAACGTACGAGCTAGAATCTAACTTGAAAGACACAAACCTTTCTTTAGTTGAATTTTCCGACAATGAGTGGCCCACAATCTAGAAGAACCCAAGAAAGCACAACAGGGTAATACGTGATTAAAATGCACCAATCATAATAGTTTGATTATTTTAATTTAATATGATTAGATCAATGAAAGTGACAAAAAAGTAAAGGTAGCCAGACTCTTATAAATATCACTTTTAACACACACCTGTGTTTCCTTTTCTTCTTCCTTTGAGGAGTGTTTTCATCCACCGCAGGTGCACGTGCAATGATGCTAGATTCTTTTACCCTGAATTCATAAACCTGCCAAAGCCCAAAACAAGAAAAACTCCTAAAACATGTATCCATTTCAGTGTTTGTTTTATTGCTGTTTGTGGCAACTTGCAATTACCAGATCCTCAAAAATAATTCCACAGCAGTTATGCATAGTTGTCTAGCATTAAACTATTAATAAACACTGTAATATGTAATGTGATTGCATAAACCCATCTTCTCAGGTGTGTGTACCTGTCTGCAGGTCTTTGTGCCGATGAGTCTGGCGATAGCGCAGAAGTTGTCATAGTAAGTACCGATGAGCACTCTGAAGAGAGAGGCCTCAGCACCGCTCCAGTCCACATTCTCAGGAGGCTCTGAGCTCAACTTCAGCTTCACTGGAGTCTGACAGCGGGAGTTCGCCTCTGTACAAAAAAATAAATAAACAAATTAATTATTAAATGGAAATAAAATCTAAAACAGCAGGAAAACTGAAACAAGCAAATAAATTTTCATGACTCCAAAACACTAATAAACAATCAATTGTGACATTACTATATTACTTTTTTATTAATATGATTTTCATGGTTGACAGCACCCAATCAAATATTACACTTAGGACTGTCACGGTTATTACATTTGGCTGACGATTAATTGTCTACAAATAGTCACGGTTATTGCGATTAATTGTCTGTTTTAGGGCTTTGGCGATTATGACAATTATGCTGATTATCACGACTAATTGTGTGTTTTTTAATGGCTTTCATTATATAATTGTGATTAAATTAAGGGTTCATTAAATAATTATCATGTCATCTTTTAATCTTTTTTGAGTTATTATTTTGCAGTGTAAGATTACATAGAATACTCCAAATTCTAAGAATTGGCCAATACCGATCCAACACCAGCGCTATTTTTTTTTCTACAGCACTACAGAATATCAATACTGTGTTTGTGTAACTAATGGTCACTTTTTTAAACCCTTTGTTAAACACAATCCACTAAATACTCCCTTCCTCATTACGGAGAAACACTACATTTTAATAAAAATATATAAGCTATGGAATTAAACTAGCTGACTGTATAATTTAGCAGCAAAAACAATATCTTGGAAAAAAAATCTTTGGTGCACATAATACAATTTAAACATGTTTATTCTGTTAACTATTTGTATTCCTACAAAATACATTAACGAAAAATAAGATAGAAATCATGAGAAAAATAAAAGCTTCTAATAATCTTTCTGTGTGCAAAACTTTGATAATGTGAAATGCTTCAAACAGAGCAGCACAAAGCTCTTATGCACATCCAGGGTGCAGAATGGTGCACTTGAAGCAACATGGAGTCGCAGCGCTTATGCACATCTAGGGTGCAGAATGATGTGCTTGAAGCAACATAAGTCACAGTGTGCTGCACTCCACACGGTACAAACAACGAGAAGAGAAATGAGAGAGCAATGAACTCCAGCAAAATGTCATTTTATGCGAATCCCCAGACCTTTATCTACACAGCAAGTATTATAATGGGAATATATAATTTTGGAGAGAGTTCTACCGTGCTGACTGACATAACTGAACGTGACGTGCTGTTTGAATGCTGAGCGGAGAATGACTGACAGCTGCAGCAGAAGGAAGATCAATTTCTGTAAACTTAAATTTAACAATGTAAATACAATTCTGTTCCTCACATTAAGATATGGAATGGCTTCAGATGATATAGGCTATACAGCGCATGAAAAGCAAACTGGTGATCTTCTGTTTCTTTTGGTTTATGACTCCACCTTGTGCCGTATAAAAAGCACAATAATCTTTTATCGGTTAGATAAAATAATCGCGATTATACGGTTATTTAATTATCGCGACAGGCCTAATTACACTGATATGATATATTTTTATAGACCCTCAATCTCACCCGAGGAGCTGGTGGTCTCATCCTTTTTGTCATCATCATCTTTATCGTTGCAGTCTGTTCCATCTGCCCCTCCCTCTCGGTCACTGTCTGTGTCTTTAGTCTCATTGTTAACTGTTGGGGTGCTGGGTCTGCTGTTGCTGTTGCTGTTCGGGAGTCTTCCTCTGCGTCTGCCCATTATGCGCTTAGAAGGGGTCTTGGCACGCTCAGCAACCACACCTGCTGGGTATTCCCTAACCATGCCATCCTGAAGAGATACGTATGCCAGGGTTAATCAGAGTGAAAGTCAGAATTAAGCAGCACTTCAAATGTGTAAAACCTGTGATGCAAACACTTTCACACAGAAATCATAAATGCACTTGCAGTTTTGTGCCATCTCAAACCACACAAACATATCAAGCCTTCAGGATTAACAATATCTTTCATTTTAGAAGGAGTGGAGAAATGCACTTGCCTGAACCATATACATGTAACAATAAATGCCACATGGTTTGCTGTCCACCAGATTCTCCATATTTTTACGCTTGTATGTGTTTGGAGTTGCATGGAAAGCTGTAAATCAAAAGAGGAATGCATTTATAGAAATGCAATCTTAAATGGTTGGATATTATTGTTAAAGGACAGCATTTTGAGAAATAATTGCTTACGGTGAAGGAAACAGTCGTATTTGAAGCAACGCCTGCAGAAGAGTGTATGGAAGGAGTGCAGACTCTGCTCTCTTTGCACTGATTTAGCATTTGGTCCATCGATGTTGGGGGTGCATTCAGGAGGAAGAGCCCCTGGAAGCTGCTGCTCAGTGAGTTCTTTATATCTGCAAAAAGACAACATTTCTCAAAACATGATCACCACTAGGGCTGTGTATCACCAGCAAAGTCACGATACAGAGGCCACGATACGATACGTATCACGATACGGGACTGCACTGAATTTCACCTCAGAAGAATTTAGTAAAACAGCTGTTTATTAAACACGCCATACTATAGTGCCATTTCTAACTATTGGCAGAGCAGACAGTTGACCTCTGCATTATGAAGGGCCTCCATAACTGTACCACAGTACAATATAGGTAATGGCATATGTTTCATGTTTACATTGGGCACTCCCCACCAGGTACAATATTCTGATTTTTTTGCATCTTGTTTTTAAGCCCATAAATAATAATGTACCCCTTCTAATAAATTTATATTGTAATGTACTCATTCTAATATATTTTTAAAAATCACATTTACATTGCTGGTAGGTTATCATTGCACAAATTAGCACACTCTCTACGTCTAAAAAATAAAAATTTGAAGAGTTCTAAACTAATGCGCTGTCTTCTGTATCTAACGCACACACACGCCGGCTCAGACACTCACACAGATCACGTTGCGGCCGCACTCAGACATTCAGAAACAAACTTTTAGCACTGCCCCGCAATTTTATCAACTAAGTAGCTTAATCGCTCAAGAGCTACATTATCTTTCTCAACAAGGAGCTGGTAACATCATTGTTTCTAAAGGAATTAAAGCCACAGCTTCACTGTTAATAGAGAAACGTGGCAAAACGGTGGTAATTCATACATACACAGCCCCTCTCTCTCTCATAAATGAACATTTGATGAATTACACTTTTACGAGAATAGAATATTGAAGTGGAGATCGCTAAACTGCAAGCTAAAACTAAAACCAGTGTTTTCAGAAAGCAAGCGCATTATCCACAGTGGAGAGAGAGCGCGCGTGCACAGGGTTGCCAGGTTGACAAAGATAAGTAGCACATATAGCAGATATTTCTGTATTGCGCAAGTGTGAAGCTCTGTTTCGGGGATTACGTCTCTTTATATCAGGCAACCCAGATGTGTTCCTCTGCAGCCAGATTAAACCTTGTTATAGCCTATACATTATGCTCTATTCATTATTTTTTTAGAAACCTCGCACTTTTCTGCTCAATTTTAAACGTTGTTCTTGTATTCAAATTAAGTGCGGTTCACTGCTGCACACGTGCCACAATATCGATACAGGGCTAGCTGTATCGATACTCGTATCTTCAAATCTCTTTGACGATACATCGTCGTATCGATGTATCGAACACAGCACTAATCACCACCCATCAAATTTCAACGCAAATGGAAGCTTCACATTATTTTCCATTTAAGTTTATCAGAACCATTGAAAGTTCTTATTCAGGGGAGTTGATATCTAACATACTTTTCTTTGAGTTCTTCAGTTGAACCTTTATCAGGAAACATGGAAGAAATGGCTTCAAAGATTTTATCAGAGGGAAACTTCTTTGATCTGTCATTGTTGTGACCTGTTGCATACAATAAGAAAGCACAGAAATTGTAGAAGACAAAATAAGAGACTTTAAAACGCATACAGCATGTAATAAAATTATATTGTCTATTTCTATTGTCAGCACTAAAGGGCACGTGATTTGTTTGGAAAAAAAAATAACTATATTGCACTGGACAAGGAAAACATCTAATGTCCCAAAATACATATAAACACAACAGTCCTGACATATGTAACACTGTTGATGCACACTGCTGTAAATCTTTGGAATTTGGTTAAAGAAAAAAAAACAAAAAACAATAATCAAATGTAATATATTTTAACTGCTCACAATCTGTATCAAAACTAAATCCGTTTTTTACATACTTTACACTAAAAAATAATTTAATTTCTATTACTTTCAGAATTGAGCTGGTCCTTGTGAGAGTCTTCAGCGTCATCTTTTCCATCACAGAGGTCCATCTTCTCAAACTTGCAATCATGCTGATCCTCCTCTTCATCATCTTCCTCATTATCACTGTACTGATTGAGTGCGCACACTAGCTCCACAAAGATCTCATCATTTATGAAACCACACTCTACACACAAAACAAAACACAGGAAAATAAATCAATACCCTTTTCAAGAGAACCTGCAGTCTATAGGGCTTTTTGCAGCTGCGGATATGTTAGCTTAAATGTGAATCAATTCTTAAAGGGTTAGTTCACCCAAAAATGAAAATTAGCCCATAAATTACTCACCTTCAAGTCATCCTAGGTGTATATGACTTTCTTCTTTCAGACGAATCCAGTTGGAGTTATATAAAAAAATTGTCTTTGATCTTTCAAGCGGTTTAATGCCACTCAGCGGGTGTTGCATGCATCAGTCCAAAAGAAGTTAAAAAGCGCCCATCCATTAATAAAAAAAAGAAAGAAAGTGTCTCACACGGCTCCGGGGGGTGAACAAAGGCCTCCTGTAGCGAATCGATGCGTTTTTGTAAGAAAAATATCCATATTCAAAACGTAATAATCACTTTAATGTAGCTTGCGCCAACAGTCCTACACGGAAGCAGTTCCGCGTTCGTCACTTCTGAGCGGCGCATGCGCAAAGCCGACCTCATACGTCATCCGCCCGGAGCTGCCTCAGTGTACAACTGTTGGCACAAGCTACATTAAAGTGATTATTACGTTTTGAATATGGATATTTTTCTTACAAAAACGCATCGATTCGCTACAGGAGGCCTTTGTTCAGCCCCCAGAGCCGTGTGAGACACTTTTTTTATGGATAGGTGCTTTTTATTTAACTTCTTTTGGACTGATGCATGCAACACCCGCTGAGTGGCATTAAACAGCTTGAAAGACCAAAGACAATTTTTAATATAACTCCCGACTGGATTCGTCTGAAAGAAGAAAGTCATATACACCTAGGATAACTTGAGGGCGAGTAATTTATGGGCTAATTTTCATTTTTGGGTGAACTAAACCTTTAAAGAACCTTAAAAAAAAATTTTAAACATTTTAACTGTCATTATTTGTAATACCAAGCCTGTGTGCTCTTATATTCAGTAGAGTATGAAAAAGAATACATTTTAAATCGTCTCCCAATTTGTATTTCTTTAAAAGACCAACTAGATCAAATCTTATAAATCAGGGAAAAAATGAATTCCTGACCTCTATCTCCATGAACTTTTCCATCATAATTTTTAATAAGCTCTTCAATGAAGGTGCCATCTTGATCAAGGATTTCATCACCCATGTAAGGGATGTTGTGCAATACAGTCTCATCTTCAACCTAAAACAGAATACAAGATTAAAAGTGTGTTTTTTGACTTTTGCAAATATATATAAAAAATTTGGTTTTACCATGAAGTTTTGCTGGAGTGGAGACCAAGAGTACATGACAGGCACAGAGGCCACAGCATTCAGTGTTTTGAGAGGAATGACTTGTCTGGAGAACTCAGAGAAGCCACTGTCAACAGTGCACTGCAAAATATTTCAGTCATGTCAGATAGAAGTCTATAAACTAAGATATTTATAGGATACTGAGCATTTACTCTAAACGCCACAAGCACCAAAAACACTGCATTTAATAATAAAACACTAATACACATTTCCAAAAAGCAAACAGAAATGAGATAGAGATAAAGATAATCAATTAAACTGAGGAAAATTACAAAAGCATGGATGGCATTAAACATGCACTTTAGGAGAATCTGAATTAGGGGATTTGTTCTAACCTCTCTAGTCCCTCGCAAGGAGCTCACAGGTGTCATAATATGAACAGGCTGTATCCGTCTCAGTTTCCATTCCTGGTTCAATATATCTGTACACTCCAATATCTTCTGTCTGTTGGAGCTGAACATGCTCTGTACATTAAGAAAACACATTTCAACGTGAGACTATCCTATAGACAGGCAGACAACATGGTTATTCTCATGACTCTTTTTATAATTTGTGGAAACGTGTTATACATAACAGTGCATTTGCACTGTCCATATCACGTGACACCTAAAAGTCTGACCAACACCAAACTCTATACGAGCAGCTTAATGTCTGCTGTATTAGCCCATGGATCACCTTGACCTCGTCTGCCCTCCTGAAACGTTTGAGCTGCCGCAGTCGCATGTACTCAGACTTCACTCTCCGCTTCCAGCAAACAGGACCCTTCTCCGATTTCCTCCCAGTCAATACCATGGCTTCCCTATACACACACAGTATATGGCTTTAGTCTTCATTATAGACTATAGAAACATACAACATGGAGGTTAAGTGGTTTTGTTTTTCCTTTTGGATAAAACAGTTTTACCCAAAAACTATATTAGGGTTGTGCCGATAGTATCGTGTATCGACGATAGTCAGAGATATCGACAATAGCACGTCTTTGTCGATAGTCAAGACGATATCAGGCTCATAAATGTATTAAATTACTATTATTATTATTAGGCGGCCTATTATAATTCGGCTATTATTATCAAATTGCCCCGCTATTTCACTTCAGCACCGTCTGCTGATATAAGGTATTTCATTGCATTTTAACAAGTAATCTGAATGGCCTATATATGTGCAATATTTTAACCGAGCCCTGACTAACTGAGTTTAATGCCACAGTTATGTTAGAACGCATCTCATTCTTGTTTCTGTGGCGGTGTGTTGGGCTCGTCATGGGGCGCGCATGGGGCATCCCGAGCGCTGTATGACTGATGTATCCGTTCAATTTAACTTTACTCCAAATATATGAACTTACCTGTTTTAAATACTTTTATATTTAACGTGTTCATTTATGTCCAATATTTAGTGTTAAACTGTTGGTCTTTAAAATAAATCTACTTTTGATTTTCACCGGTGACTGATTTTGCAGACCTTTTAGACTGATAACTTCCGTGCTCTGATGCAGCAAACTTGTCACAGGACGTGTGGTCCTAATAGCGATGTATGACTGTTGTATTCGAATATATATGAAATAGCCGTTTTAAATATTTTTATATTTAACATGTTAGTTTATCAGTATGTTTGAAAGTATATTATTTCGATTATTGGTGCTTTCATAGGCTCTCTCTCGCGCGCCCGCACAGTTTAGAACACCACATAGTTATGAAATAGCCTATGATAAGTACAGTGTCTCTCTCTTTGCCCCCACCCACGCACACACGATAATATCGTGTATCGGCGATCTCACGGGCTGGCGATATGACGATTTGAAAAATGACCATATCGCCCAACACTAAACTATATATACACATGTACACCAGTTAAATCATACACAGTTTTCCTATGCATTAAGTGACTGATTAATTCTCTTGCCAGATGGCTTAAAAGTAATTACATGCAAGATCTACTTTTTAGGGTTTCTGCAGGTTTTATGAAGGTAAACTTGAGACTTTTTAAGACCTTTTCAAACCAAGTAAAGAACATGGAAGTACCATTTACTGTACCTACTGATTAAACTAACTGCAAAAAAAGTGATTCTTCCCGAGTATTTTTGTCTTATTTTTTAGTGCAGATTTCAAATGAAGATTTCTCAACAAATTCTTCCAAGCAGAAATTATATAGGCCTAAAATATGCTGAACCAAAACATGTAGAGTTATGTACTCTAACCATATATCAGTAGTATTATTTATTAGTGACTCCTAATTTAGTTCTCCTCATTTTAAACTTAACTGAAAAATTCCTGAGAGCCCCTTTAAGTCTTGTGAGCTATGAAAGAGCAACAATACTTTCCTCTGGGAACCACTAGAGTGTAAAAACCAACTCAATTGCTGTAGAGTTTAACTAACATGCTGCGACTACGTAGGCTGAATATGTAACCGAGTAGCTGAGACAGTGCGAGACAGTGACAAAGTGTCACTTGTAAGTTCACAGGTTTCCCCTCCTACAAGTTCTCCCAGTCATCTCAGCAACACCACAAACTCACATACTCAATCTAAATGTAGTAACATGAGAAAAATGAAAAATTAAGAGGCAGAGGAAAATTAATGTCCCCTTGTTATCCACGAATAAACTGCAATTGGGTGTAGTTCTGCAATTGCATTAGGTACACTTTTATTCCCAAATCTGGGATTTATGTTATCCGTGGTGTAGATGTGACAGGTGTATGAGCTCATTGGCGCCCCTGCTGGACTAACACACACATTGAAGCGACGTCTAACTGAAAACTAAAACAAAACCTTATAACATTTTTACTCGTGTTTACTCGCACAACTTCACAAAATCAGCAAGTCTTGTAATGACAATTAAGAAACAAACACTGAAGAACTAACAAAAGGCTGACAACTTAGATGCTAAAAAGATTCAACCAAAAATGAAAACTTATCATTTACTCAATCTCATGGTTCTCTAAACCTGACTTTTTTCTTCTGACACATAGAGAGATGTTAAGCAGAATGTCAGTCACTGTTCACTTGCAATGCATCTATTTTCTAATACAATGAAAGTGAATGATGACTGAGACAGTTATTTCTTTCATCCCCTTTGTTTCCTTTCACGGAAGAAAGTAAGTCATAGAGGTCTGGAACAACGTGAGGGCTTGTAAATGACAGATTTATCGTTTTTTGTTGAATTATCCTTTAAACTTCGTTATGGTTTAACGGTAGGGTAGAACATAATCCATGCGACTAGTAAACTGTATATAATCTAACATGACTGCTGTCTTTGAAGTGTTTCAATTTAAAGTTAGTCGCTAACTGGTTAGCTGGGCTGTCTTAACCAGAAAGTAAATGTGGTTTCACTAAAACACTCAGACAACTGTCTCTTTAGTGTCTTCTTCTAGTGCCTACCTGAAGGAGGAGACCTGTCCACATCCAAACAAACGACTTTTCTGTCAGTCTGTCAGCGCCGTCCCTAAGTGAAGATGATCGGTTAAGTGAGCTAGCTAACTCAGCTAGCTCGCTGTAGCGGGTCCTTTCACCTCCGCGCGTCCGCGCTACCAATACCGGCGAGCCTCGATTAACAAAAGACAGGCGCTTAATTCGTCTTTAGTTCTACAAGTATCTGTTTGGCCAGCCGTCTTTCTCTCTCTTAACTGCGGCAGACTGTAAGCGAATTGAAATACATTTGAAATGTATGTAAATGTGTAATATTTCCGTTTCTGTAAGTATTCAAACCCGCTCAGTCTGTCGCTTATACTCAGAATTCGCCGCCCACCTCGCGCACTGCAGAATCAACGAGCGCCAAACAGATCAGCCAATCAGAACAAGCCATGTTCGAGCTGCTCAATGTTGCGATTTTTGATTGGATAGATCCTATCGAGGACTGGGCGAATCGGATGCGTGACTGCAGTGGGGGACATGTGAAGAAGTTCTCTTTGTTCTTGATTTTGAACGAATACAGTTTTGCAAAACTGTAAAACCGGCGCGCAGTATGCTATTAGTAGTCTTTGGGTTTCTATCATTGCCGTGAATTATGTCAGCGAAGAACAGCAGCTGTGAATGTGTTGGCGATACAGTATAATGCAAGATTTAAGCTCTTGTTAGTTTCTTTTAGTACAGACAGAAGGAAAAACATGCTGCAGTTGTGGTAACGTAATTACTGGGGGAAAAAAAAACAGTTCCACACGGCCAGTAAGTCGATACAGTCAACATGTCATTCTGCTTTCTCATTGAACTGAGGGACTGTTTGGACTGGACTTGGGTCACCCGGTTCATTAAGTACCACACACTTAATGCCATCTGCGTACAGTAGTGGTGGGCAATCCGAATCATTTCCGCGAGTCGGTTCTTTCGAAGAGTTCGAAAAATGATTCAGAGACTCCTACGTTATCACGTCCCCGACCTCACAGCGTGGCAGTTTTATCTAAAACGTCCCAAAAATCCATAAATAGTCACATATTGCTGCTTTAAAAGTTAACGTTCAAATAAAACGCTATAAATCTATTTTTTTCTTCATGTATGTATTGATAAATCCGTCACGTATTTCCCGCACGTTTTACAGTTAAATTAAACGTACACTATTTTAGCCTCATTTTTGAAATAATCGGATCAATCTAAAAGTACTCTCAGCTTATCGATTTTAGGCTCATTATTAGTTCTCCGTTTGGAAGTTATTGGCTCGGACGGATTCAATCCGAATCGTGAACGATTCAGTGAAGTCAACACTATTCAGTGAAGTCTAAACACTATTCAGATTTTTTTCAGGTTTTCTTTGAAAAATTATTGCAATGCATTTTAAAAATCTGTAATAAAGGTTGATTTAAAGCCAATTTAAAATAGATGTGATTTAATTTAAATTTAACTTGATTTAAAGTAGATGTGATTTTAAGCCAAGCTGCCTGTTCAGTCCCGACATACTATTTCAGGGTCCAAATCTCTACTCCATTTGAAGTGAGAATACAAATTTAACAGTTGCTTATGAGCATTATTAATTTACAGGATACCTTTTAGCTAAGCTTTTAAAAACTCACAATGTACACTACAGTCTCCAGGCTCACGGTGTCCCGAACACCAATATTTTAACAATTCTTAAAGTATGAATAACTGTCTGGCCAACTGAGATGAGATAAAGGTCAGGATTGTTATGTTTTAGTAGTACTACAGCACACCGCGAGTTTATATATCAGAACTGTTTTTGGTTTGTTTTTGGGTTCTGGAGGAGAGTTTAGACCTGAAAACTGTGATGTATAATGGAAGTAAACAGGAACTTATTTATGACAACCACTCCATTTGTGTTTTTCATTCTTTTATTTAAAAGACTTGGGAGAAATAAACCTAATAAACAGTGCTTGGTTTGGAATGAAAATACTGAATGTTTTGGTCGCAGAAACAAAAGAAAATACAAAAACAAATCAAAACATTCTCTTATCTGAAGGTCACCAAGCCCTCCAGAATATTTCCATTCTCAGGGAACTGCATTTATATAAAGTTCATGGTTTTTCTCAATCTCTTAGAGCTCATCTTTTTGCTGTGATAATTTTGTGGCATGTTTTTCCACAAATTTGCTTAATTCCTCCACATCCCTTTTGCCGCCTTCAAATTTGACTGGGTTCTGCTTGTTGCTGCTGGGAGCAAAGTAGATTGTAGGGAAACCTTCTACTTTATAACTGTCATGAGGCACATCATTAGCAGAGGCATCCATCTTGGCAATGACGAGATTCTTCTCATTCTTGTATTTCTTTCCAAGAGCTGTATAATCTGGCTCCAGCTTTTTACAGTGGCCACACCATGGTGCATAAAACTCGATAAGGACATCTTTCTTTGTATCCATCACAATGTCATCAAAAGTCTTGCCCACCACAACCTTCACTGGTCCTTTGTTGCTCTTGGGAATAGGCTGAGACTTTACAATAGGTTTCAGCTTTCCTGTCAGATAAGAAAAGGATGTAATCACTGATTTTAATGTAGTGACAAAAGCAGTGCTCTCTCTAAGCATTTGCATTCTTAGAAGAACATTTACCGCACTGGCTTAAACTCATTGTAACAATCACTTCTGATTAAGAAGTATTAAGAGAAATCATGTACATTTTCATAAAGAATATGTAACGTGCATAACACACCAATACCTTACCTTTTTTGAAGGCCATGACAAAGCTTCGGAACACATCCGAGTCAAATTCCTCTGGCTCCATGGCATATTTTTTCCCTTCCTCACCGAGAATGCCAACATTCACCTCCTCCCCGCTTTCACTGAGTCCAAGACTCTTCAATTCATCAGCATAGTCTTCCTCATCCGCGATAGCAAATGTGTACTCTGGGAAGTCCTTTGCTACTTCAAGCACTTTGCTCCTCCAAAACTGTGTGGCTGGGTGGAAATGATAACAAATCGTGTCAGTAGTGAACAAAAGCATTTGCATCGTGAGCTACAGGCATAATCTTAATTCCTTTTAGAGTTTCAAAGCGCTGCAACAGCCACGGCTTAGACACATACCAACTCTGTAATCAAAACTGAAGTCTACTCCGTAATAAACAACCACAAGAGGTCGTGTGGTGTATCTCTTTACATCGTTGCTCTGCTTTCTGTGCCCAACCAAAGGTAGAATGTGTTTCTTGAAAAATTCCTGAACTTCTGAAGCAGGTGTGGAGTCCTTTAGAAAAAAAAAAACAAAGAAAATTGTTCAGTTTCAAAGGTGACTAAAGGTTTGTTCACAAAAATGAAGAGTTATCTAAACTATGTTAAACTACTATGTGAGCAGTGCTTCATACCACTTCACTATTGACATTGGACCTTTTTTGACCGCAAAAGTTTGCCAAAATTTATCTGATGTTACCACACCTTAACAACAGTGTCATGCTTGGTTTGCAAAGATCTCACAAAAACAATAAAGATTCAGAACTTACTTTAATTGTTAGTGAATGAGATGCTGGCTCATATTTAGACCTAAACTTCTCTGGCTGGAGCATGACTGCTTGTCCAGGTGAAGCCTTGAGGAATTTTGCGACTTCATTATTGAACGTATGCATAAATCTGTAGTCTTCTCTTAGAGAATTACCTGCAGGAAAAGAGAACAAGTTGTTAGATAAATAAAATTAAAAGTTCAGATCTAATGCATTTGAGAAGGACTTCCAGACAGCATAATACACACATGCTTCTTGATATATCTCATATGCTGCATCTTCTTCACTGGAGAAAACACCTACAATCACAGAATCATCACCATCTCTGACGAGCTCCTGAACCTGTTTTAGAGTCTGCACCTGCTTTGATGGAGGACCAGCCTGGTCTGACATGTAATCAACAATACCTAGAGGAAAAAGAATGAAGAGATTGTAATTACGCCTCCAAATCAATCAGTCGCCAAGACAATGGGTGATGGACCTACCAAACTTTTCACGTGGTCCATTGTAGTCGAAAGCCTTGCCCTTTCTGAAGATTTTAAGAGTTGGGTAACCAGAAACACCAAACCGCGTTGTTAAATCACTCTCTGCAGTGGCATCAACTTTAGCCAGTGGAATTGGAGGTGTGCGATTGCGGAGCTCTTTAGCAGCCTTCTCATACTCAGGTGCAAGACTCTTACAGTGGCCACACCTGTTTGAATTAAAACACATGACTCTCAAAAAGATACACTGATGCTTCAGAAAGAATGCAAAGATGTAACATCATGAGTTAATAAGTAAGCTGCACAGGAATCTAAATATACAAACCAGGGTGCATAGAACTCCACCAGAATGATGTCTGCATTGTTCACCACATCATCAAAATTATCCTTAGTCAAGACTAGGGTGGCCTCCGGAGGAGGTTTCCAGTCTGGTTGGGCAACTTCTTTAACCCGTTCCACAATGGCTGAAAAAAATTAAAGTTAAAACCATGCTTGATTGACAACGTACCCGGAAGGAAACTCATGAGCACTTGTCAAATTCACAGCAATCTGATGGAAGGAAAAAAAATTATAAGGGCATTTAAATTAATTTTAAGTGAACTCACCACGCTCACTTCGATCCCCCTCATAGTCCACCGGCTCCCCCTTTTTAAGTATTTTGATGGTGGGATATCCAGAAACTTCAAATCTACTTCCCAGTGCATTAGCCTTAGTGGCATCAACCTTTGCCACAGGAATCGGTGGGTCATTCTCCTTTAGCGTCTGAGCGATCTTCTCATACTCAGGAGCAAACTGTTTGCAGTGGCCACACCTGAAAACGTGTAATATTTGCATGAGCAAGATCTCTGACAATCAATGACGTGTCTCCTACGGATGTAGAGCAAAGAAGCCTTACCATGGTGCGTAGAACTCCACCAGTACTGTGTCTTTGCCCTCTATGAAGGTATCAAAGTTTTCATCTGTCAGGACCAGTACCCCATTCTCCTCCTTTACTTCAGTGTCATCTGCATCATCATCATCATCATCATCCTCATCATCATCATCTTCCTCTCCAATATCTTCTGCTGAATCTAAAATGTTATGGTTAACAAATATGAAATGCATCAAGCTAAATCAGCTCCTGTTTTCTTGATACTTGTTTTATATTAATAGGTCTTTGTTGTAGTGCAACAAAAACATCTCTATGGTCTCTACAACACAGTCTAACATGCAGTGTTGCCATAAACAAGAATGCATCAAGCTAGCTAGCAATGCAACGGGTCTGAATATCCCAAAACAAACAAGCATGTTAGATATCAACAACCTGCAATAGATATCTTACCATCTTTGGCATCTTCTTCGCATCGGCTTGGCAATATGAAGTGTGTCACTCCAAGCAGCACAATCAATAGAAGGGTTATCTTCTTCATGATCTGTAATATTCACGCCTCCTTTAGTTAGCTTAATGGATTAAACCGAGACGCATACACTGCTACCGATAATCAAAGTAATAAATACTGTGATAGTTATAACGTTTGCATTAAATGCTTTGGCTCAGCTCATTACACGTCACGCATTTTTCTCTAAATGCTTTTTTCTTACTTCGCCTCCCAATCCCCACTCCTTTACTTGAACTTGACTGACTTGCCACGCTCTGATTGGCTGGTAGAGCAAGGACTCGGCCAATCATCGGTCGCCACTCAAGTCCGCAGTTCATGCACGTTCAAAACCGCAATTGGGTGGTCTGTCGTGGGCTGCAAGCTGATTGGTCGATTAGTGAAAGAGATAAGACGAGTCTGACGAGATACAGGAAGTGTAACTAGGAGCAAGTTATTTCTTTTACGATTGAAGTTTTTTAGTTGTTAATAGGTTAAGATATGAAATTCACACGTACCTGCATTATGACAGCATGGGTGAAGTAACATAGTAAATGAGAAAAAGCTGTAGATATATAAAAGTCTTATTTATTAAAATTGGTTTTTGGCAAAGGAATGTTTAATTTTTAATTGCAAAATAACAGAAGGGGCCACCTTCATACATTTTCACACAAACGCAAATAATACCCCAAATGTCAATTTTGAAATTGCTATATTTAAAAAAAAACAGTCCAATTTGTCAAGCATGTTAAGACATGTCCTCTTAATATTTTAGCAACTTCATGCAAATCAAATATCACTTTTGAGGTATTTAATCAGATCAAATGGGTTTTTAAAGTAATGTTAAGCACCATTCTAAAAACCCAACTCCAGAGGGAATGTGGCTTGAAAATGCTAATTCTCTTCTTGGAATGAAACAGCAAAACTGTACAGCTCTTTTTTCTTGTATTACATACATTGTTCAGTGAACCCTGGAATAATTGTTTGCCCTTGTACAGAATTGTCCATTCCCTCAATTAAAGATGTATTAAACACACATGGCTCTCCAGCTCGCTTGCCATGTGCTGTATGATGACCCATGTTCACTTCGCAAGTTGATGAGGTTAGAAGAGTGTGCCTTCTCATCTTTTGAGTCATGATTTGTGTCTTGATGGCAAAATTATGCTCATCTGCCAACCTGCTTGGATCAGGCAGAATTGATGATTTAATGTACACTTTGTCCTTCCATTCAGCTGGTGCACAATGGGTCTGCTTGATTGAAGAAATAATTTGGCCCTGTCCAGTCCCTTCTGACTCTCTGATTGGATCTTTGAGGCAGTTTCTGAAATTCCTCGGCCCTCTTGAAAAACTCTCCTCCTGCGTTCTTCCTCTGTCTTGTAAGTACTGAGACGTTCTGTGTTCAAGTGGTGAAACAATTAGCACATTACAGTGACAGACTTTGACATTCATTCATATTGCATCTCAACTCTACTGTATTTGGAATTTGACATAGAAAACAAGTCTACCTGTGAGTGTTTTCCCTATATGAGGCACTGCTGATATCCAGGCATCCTACGTGTTTCTTCCCCGGTCCATCAAAAATTACACTCTATGCAAAACATGTATATGCAATTGTTGCAATTATATATATAATGCAATTAAATATAAAATATAAATTTTAACATGTAAGAAAATTGATAGACATTAAAGGAAAATTTTGTTGAAAATTTACTCACCTTCGGGCCATCCAAGATGTAGAGTTTTTGTTTTTTCTTCATCTGAACAGATTTGGACAAAATCTGGCCAGCAGCAACGGCTTAAAGTTAAAATGCCTTAATGATGGATTTTTTTCACTTCACAAGACATTAATAGATAGACTTGAGTCATATGGTTTACTTATGGATTATTGTGATGTTTTTATCAGCTGTTTGGACTCTCATTCTGACGGCACCCATTCACTGCAGAGGATCCATTGGTGAGCAAGTGATGTAATGCTAAATTACTCCAAATCTGTTCTGATGAAGAAATAAACTGAACTACATCTTGGTTGGCTTGAGGGTGAGTACATTTTCAAACAAATTTTCATTTTGGGTGAACTATTCCTTTAATATAATATACATTTTATAAGATAACCTTTTTCACTTTTATCGCTGGTGCTTCAGACATCATTACTAATACTGACATATTATTTAGACACATTACTAATACTGTATAAATAAAACAAAATACATGCATAAGTTGCATAAATATGTGCTTGTACAATACAGCTTGAATAATTTGAGTTCTGTGCAAAAGTGAAACAATCACCTCTGAGTCTGAGCTATAAACATGCCCAGAAAGCGGCACAGAGAAATTACTCTGGGTTTCAAATAGATTTTCTTTTGCTGGCAGGGTGTTGTGGAGACTGTCTGACATAGTGCAGAGATGAAACAACAGTTCATCCATGAGATCCTCAAACTCTGCTAAGTAAAACCTCTGTGAAAACAAAAGCAGATTTATCCTTAAATTAATAAAAATTATGCAGTCAAGAGTATTTCTATAGGCCCTATTTAATCTGTCTTAATGATTACAGACTGCTTACATTAGAGTGGACATGATGGTCAGTTGACTTGTGACTGGCTTTGCCAATAATGAGTAAAGCCTTGTCTTTGACATAAGAGATCAGCTCAAAGACAGTCAGTAAATGTTTTCTTTTTTTAGTTTTCTTTCTTTGTTTCACAAAAAAGGTAAGGGTGACAATTACCTGAAAGAAATCAAAACAGAATCATGTCAACCAGTCTAGGAGGTATAGTTTTAATACCTCCTTTTTCATTAATTAAAGTTACACTTTTATCTATATATGAGATATAACTGCACTCAAATATACACTGTGTACCATCAATATTATTCCAATACATACCGTAGCATTAAATGGAATCATAGTGCACAATATAGCTCCAAAATAAATTATTGATGGGACTTGGGCTTGGAGGTAAATGTTACCAAAGTGGCTCATGCAAAAGAAACCAGTGAAGAGCAAATGAGCAGATCTAGTGATACTGGTAAATGGGAATGAATGAAAGATCAAGTTGCGGAGACCGGAGAGGGCCACTGCGACAATAACACCAGGTGCCTAAATAGAAATAAAGATACGTAATTTAATGGAAGTAGCCTTTGGTTACATTAATGGGGTGAACTGATTTTAACATATTGTGTTATGTAAATCAATAGGCTACCAGTAACCAAAGCAGGTTGGAGAAGATCAGCTTCCAGGTAGACACAGCTGCTGCCATTGCTTTGTTTAGCCGTAGTAAGGACACACATTTCAGTAGAAGCAAATTAACCACAACGCCAAGGAGAGATTGAGAAAGCTGTTAATGAAATACGTTCATGTTTTTAAATTCAGAAAGCAGGCAGGAAGTCTGAACAAATTTGTTCACTTGAGCTATATAACTACATGCTGCGCCATTTTTGTACTCCTGAAATGTTAATCTGCAATAACATTATGGCATTTTTTTATACAGGGGGGTGATAGAAAATCCAATACAAGTAATGTCATAATGAACAAAACTGCATTGTCCTACCTGTTCACAAAAGAAGATGGGGCTTAGATCAACAGGTAATTCAAAATCCTCCTTCTGCAGGAAATCAATCATCTCTGTTTTTAGCATAAAGATGTACACAGAGCAGATAAACCGCAAAAGACTGCAGATCAACACTGTCACCTGTGTAAAAAAAAATGTATTCAAATAATGTAAAATACAGTAAAGCAGATTAAATTTCTTTAAAAAAAAAACACACAGTACAGTGTAAAAATGCATGTCTAGAAAGAGTGTAATGTCACCTCAAGCCAGCTCCAAAGGTTTCTCCAGTAAAGCCATTCTCTTTGAGTCATAACATATATTTGCCGATACATATGAAGCAGGGTGAATAAAAGGAAAAGAAGCTAGAAGTAAAAAGACACAGAGAAGAAAAATAAGTTAAATATATTTACAATATAATACATTTAAACATATGTAAATAAATATAGATGTAATAAATTAAAAATCTTGAACCAAAAAATCTTGAAAAAATACTATGGAAGTCAATGGCTACATAAACTGTTTGGTTACCAACATTCATCAGCTTATCTTCTTTTGTGTTCAACAGATGAAAGAAACGCATACAGGTTTGGAACAACATAGGGGTGAGTAAATGATGACAGAATTTTCATTTTTGGGTTAACTATCCCTTTAATGTTATCAGCTCAGCTACTGTGCTGTCAAACATGTGTCTGGACTGTAATAAGATGCTCACCTCACAGGTCATAACACTGTAGTCAAGGGCAGCTGGGAAATGGTAGAGTCTAGTGGACTGTATGCTTGCAGAGGGCATCAGAGCTCCTGTTGAGGTTTGCTCTACTAGAATAGTGACTGCCGTGAAGAGGTTACTGGGCCCATTGTACAGGATAAACTGGACCATCACAATTTGGGTGAAAGGAGTCATCCAGCCAGTATCCAGAAGCTTTTTAATTGACTTGATTGCTTTGGACCTATTTTTAGCAGTGGAACACATATTCTTTATATATTGCACATAATACAAGATACATAATATTGGATATATCAGATTAATCAACGGTTTATCTGACCTTGTTTTTCCAAGGCTCACACTCACACTTTCTCCCTCATAACACCCAAGTTTCCCACAAAGTGAGTGTCTCTTTTCCACAGACTGGTTATCAGAGCATTTAATATTGTGCTTGCCCAACAAATTCAAGATCTGTGCATTGAGAAAAGAAATATTAGCCTGTCAAAAGTGTTGTGTGTATACATTTAATGTGTCTTCACAAGAAATTATTTTTTTTTACTGTAGAACAGTCAGTGTTGATGATTTACCTGGCATGACGAGTTATATGTGCTCTTGATCTTTCTTATGACTGGACTCCCAATAAGAGAAAAAGGACCGCTGAAAGTCTGTTAAAGCAACACATAGTAAGCCGTATTCTTTGCAAAGCCACTTAAATCTTGTTTAAAATAGCAACAGATGTCAACTAAATCATTAAAAATGTACTTCATTTTCTACTCTTTTATCATAGCAGATGGCACTGTCATATAATCTCTCAAGGAAAGCGGTTGTTGTCCAGTTCCACCAATCGTCATGTTTTTGGATGGAGTGAAATGAATTTTGCAGACTCCTGTTTATAAGAAAACATTGTTAGCAATTGTAGTAATAATATCATTTAATGTAATGTAGTTATTTAAGAATGTCTGGTATTTACGTTGTGAAATGAGATTTGATAGCTTGATTCAAATGGTACTTGTAGTCATTGTCAGACTTTCCATAGGTCACGAACAGAACTGTCAACAGCATGATTAGGTGAAACGTCAAATCCCTGTTGAAGCAAAAGTGTAATTTTGAGAGTCAAATGTAAAAGGATATAAGAAAAAAAGTACGAATTGAGGCTGATCAAATACTAAGACCTTGCGGTTTTGCGAAGGAGAGTCTGTTTCTTCATCTGGCCTCTCACACACTTCAACTCTCTTGAATTTGGTGGCTGCACCAGACGCAAATACCTGGCTCTCTGACGGGCAGCGAGCGTCTGCACATCAACATCATGCAGAATAGATGCAAACTTGATTTCAGGTTTTATTACTCAATCTTAACTTCTCTGATGTAGATGTATCACTGTGATAGAAATGATTTTACCTTTTCAAAATGGGATTGCTGGTATTTGCTAACAAAGACATTCTCAAGTTTTTGGTCCCTGTGTCTCAATAATTCAGTGACAGGCTCTTTTACACTTAGACTGTGGAACCAGTCTGGCTTCTTTCGAAGCAGCAGAGACACTGTGATAGCAGTTATGAGTATCTGTATGAGGAAATAAAATTAGCATATGTCAGGTTTTTATTTTTATTTTAAGATCCAGGAAATGTGGGCCAAATATTAAATTGAAACCATATACAGATCTGTGTGCGGGATCAAGATGATTTACCATTGCTGGATGCAGTACAAAGCCACAGCAGACAAGAGAAAAGAACACAGAATGAGCCCAAAGAAGAGTCTTTGTTTTGTCGAACCTGTAGGGTAACAAATTTAAATCCTAATTTTCATATATTTGGAAAACAAATATTGTGCCCGAGTAATATTCAAGCTTCAACAGAATATAGTACTAACAAAACGATCACTCACTTTACTCCAAGAGTTCCTGCGATGATGAAGCACGTAAGAGAAAGAGACAAGCAGAGGCTCCAGCCCACATAATAACACCAGGATCGAAGACTTTGGATTCTACCACCACAAACCTGCCGGTTCTCTAGGATGCCTGAAAAAAAAGACAGAGAACAGAGAAAAGAGATTTTTAAAAATGTTCATAAATTATCCTTTTCCATACACTTCAGTCCAAGAGCTTAGGGTCAGTAAGGTTTTTAATATGCTTAAAAGAAGTCTCTGTAACATTTTACAATAAGGTCCCATTTGTTAAGATTTGTTAATGTATTAACTAAGAATGAGCAATACAATTGTTACAGTATTTATTCATTTTTGTTAACGTTAGTTTGACAATGTTCATTGTCAGTTCATGTTAGCTCAGGTCCATTAAATAATATGACGACATGCAACGTTTTATTTTAATAATGTATAATTGTATTTATGATGTATAAGAATTTTCATTCTTAGTTTTTCTTTAGTAATGAGGTTAACTGATGATAACAAATGGAACCTTGCTGTAAAGTGACACTGAAGTATCTTATGCTCATTAAGGCTGAATGTATTTGATCAAAATACAGTAAAAGCAGTAATATTGTGAAATACTATTCAAATTTAAAATGACAGTTTTCTATTTTAATGTATTTTAAAATGTAATTTATTCCATAACTCTTAGTTACTTAGTTGTAACATTATCCTTCAGAAATCATTCTACACTCTAAAAAATATATTAAATATATTAAATATAACCCAGCGCTGGGTTAAAAAGGGACAAACCCAGCTATTAGGTTGTTTTGACCCAGCGGTTGGGTTGTTTTGAACCCAACCACTGGGTCAAAACAACCCAATAGCTGGGTTTGTCCCTTTTTAACCCAGCGCTGGGTTATATTTAACCCAGCATTTTTTAGAGTGTAATTTGCTGACTATGTGCTCAAGAAACATCTAGAAATCGTGACAGCTGTAACAATATTAATGTCTTTACTGTTAATGTCTATTTCTTTAAATGAAAATCTTACTGACCACAAACTTAATTTAAACAAATATATTGTTATAATTAAATAAAAATGTATTTATTTATTTTTAATAACTATAATTGCTTTAAAAATATAAATACATAACCATATAGCATTCTTACTATAAAATAATTGTAATATAATTTTTAACTAATGAGTTTGCAAACCTGCAGCGGTGTGTGATTTCAGTTCAGACTTATTCCATTTGCATTTGTCATGTGATCTGCTGTTGACACCAGACATGGAGTCTTCCACAATCTCTAAGATGGCATCAGGGTCCTCTTGCAGTTTTGACACACACGCTGAATCGGAGGTTTTCCAATCCTGAGCAACACACCATTTGCACTGTCTTTAGTAATGTAGACTAAAATCATTTCAATGTCAAGCTTATTTAAATGAGCATATAAAGGAAGCATATTTAGCTGATCTGTACATTATACCTTGTAATCTGTTTTCCATGATCCTTGAGTCCATTGGGAAACTGTATTCCAGGACAAATACGATGCACAATAATTTATCAGAAGTGCATCATGGTGATCTGTGAAACAGACAAACCAATAGAAACTGTTTTGAATAATGAGTAGACTGACACATGATAACAAAAGAGGAAAATGCATAAAAACATGCCTTCTACAGAGTAGACATCAGGCACCTTGACCTTATACTGCTCTCCGGACACACTACTGGATGTGGTCTAAAACAGATCAAATAACAGTAATATATAGGTACAATAACTAAATATATCATACATAATAAATACAAATTGTCTGAATGAATGCATGCAGTAGCTCTAACGTTTAATTGTGTAGCAAGAAGAAACTGAGGGACAATTTCAGGCAGCCTGGGAATTCTGACCTTGCTGACACGAAACACCAGGGACACCAGACCCCCCACCGGCAGCACAGCCAGAGCACTGCACAGGCCTGTTACCATGGAAACTGGTGAAACACCAATAAGCCCCATCTCTACAAAACACTACCCATTGGTGTAGAGTAGAAAACAACAAAGACATGTCTCAATATCGTGAATATGAAAGTAAAATCAACAAAATCACAACAGTATTTGTTGGCATGTATTGATTTCTGTGTTGAACACCTGTTCTTCCAAAAGATTTACAAGCACTGCGCTGACACACATGTAGCCCTGCAGGAGCAGCAGGCACACACTCCAACGCTGAGTGTGTGTGTGAGGGCTGAAAGACGGACGACTGTACACAGACAGCCACGGGTGACGGTCCTCCAGGTATTCTGTGAGTTTCAAATACAGGAACTTTTGCAGATACATAGAAGGAAAAACACAAAGACATATTCAAAGAAAAAAAATGTTTTTTTACGTATGACAGATTACATCATTCATTAATCTTTGTGTTTTTGTATTGTGCAGGCCAGTAGGGAATGCAATTAAAATCCTTTAAACCTTTAAGCTTTTTCTACCTTAATATTTGAAGAATATAAAGAAGAAATAGAAGAAGAAGAGGCAACAGCAGGCTGCAGTTATACGGTCAAAATACAGTAAAATATAGATATAAATAAAATCTTAAAAATATAAATAAAAATAAATATTTGTTAAATATTATTACAATTTAAAATAGCTGTGTTCTATTTTTTCTATCTGTGTTTAATTTATTCCGGTGATGGCAAAGCTCAATTTTCTGAAAGTTTAATTGCTGCCTTAAAGATTTAAGCAATATTTAAGTAAAAAAAAAAAATTAGTGCCAAAATTACAGCTTTTTAAAAAATGGCAGAAATTATTATTAAATGGATAAATAAACAAAAATGTTGTTGTAACAAAATAAGTGGTAAGCAAATATAGAACTCAAAATAAATTGTATATGAAATATATGAATCAATTGTATTAATTTTTTAACAATCGTAAGGTGAAACGTTAAGAATTTTAACTAAAAATGTCAGAAATGATCATTGAATGGATAAACAAACATGTTGTTGTAACAAATAATGGTAAACACATTTTTAAAGAGTGTTATTTAAATGCATTTAAACACATTTTAAATTCAAATTGAGCACTGTTGTCAAATTAAAAAGATTTGTCCTAGACTTTGTCCTAGAAAAATAAAAATACTGTCATCATTTATTCACTCTTATCATATGGTGTTCCAAACCTGACTTTCTTTGTTTTGCAGAACACACACACACACACACACACAAATATATATATATATATATTTTGAAGAATGCTAACTAAACAGATTCAGTTCCCACTGACTTCCATATATGGACAAAAAATACAATGGAAGTAAATGGGAACCGAAACTGTTATCAACATTCTTTTCTGTGTTCAGCAGAAGAATGAAATGCATACAGGTTTGGAATGACATGAGGGTGAGTAAATGATGACAGAATTTTTATTTTTGGGTGAACTATCCCTGCACAGACACAAATCTATAGCCATATTCAACCAGCTGTATATCACTAACAACATAAGGGTTCACCTGTTTAAATGTCAGGCTGCATTCAGAAGCAACTAAACTCCTCTCCACCCTTCCATCTCCCTCATCCACTGCCAGCCAGCACTGGCCCAGGAAGAACCAGCAGGACCCCTGCACCAGGTCTTTGACCACCACATGGCTCAGATACCATCTGGGAGATGAACCTCCATTATCATGCCAAAGATGCACCTTCCATACTCGACCCAGACTCTCTGGGAAACTGGAGAAATAATAAAGGTTACATTATGACAATTACATTAGGTTTAAGTTAACAGTTGACTGTACTGCCTCAAAAATGATAAATATGCGAAATGAGCATTTACCTGAGAATAAAGGTATTCCTTGAGTTGCATGTAAAGAGTTTGGAGTCAGAGCTGCTGAGTTCCCTGGTTTGAGAGACACCTTTATCTCCATACAGAACAATATGGACCTGCCAATATTGTATAAACAAAGATTCAGAAATTCATGCAGCAATGGTCTCTGATAAGGATTTTACTTTCATTCCCCGTGACAATGATTAATACCTTTGCTGTCATTCTGGTTCTAGATCTCAATCCTGTGTCTATGGTGACAGCATAGAGAAACTGGTCTGAGGGGTTGTTTTCTGGTAGCAGAAATGAGCCTGTAGTTTTCTGTATGGAAACATCAGCCTTCCTACAGATGACCAACACCACCACATAGAGAGCCAGGAATGTTACGGAAAAAATGATCAGTATGTAGTTGGTTTCGGAGCTGCGAGACAAGAAGAAAATATCTGTAAGTGTACATTGGAAAACAACCATATTCAGATCTGATAAATGTGGAGAGAGGCATTGCAGGTGTACTGGATAAATCGTGAAACATCTGCAGAGTTGTAGCTGCTTATGATGTTCTCATGTGATACTGCAAATGATGCCAGGTGCTTGCAACTGAAAAAAGGAGAAAACCCATCAAACACGTTTAGTGTTTTTTATTAGTGCATGGTGTCAGACAATATTGGCCTACAGAGCAAATGACTGACACAGTAATTGATATTGAGCAACACTATATTAAGAATTAATTTCAAACCTATATGTAAGACCCTGAAGCAATTACTAAAACATTTGAGGTAACTATACAAGATTTTAAAAATCCATTAAATTTTCGTTTTACCACTAGGTGGAGCATTTATTGTGTAATAATCTGTACCTGCAGTAGATCTTGTCTGCGGAAAGCCCACCATGAGGAAAACAGCCACTGGGCTTCCACTCTTTCACACCATCCCAGGACAAACACTCCACAGACTCAATGCGAAGTGTGTAGTTCACAGCTCTGGCGATGTACTTGTTGCTAGGGCTTTTATTATAGTCTGCATTGAGAAGCCTCAGGTACACAGAACCAGCAGCTGGAGATAAAGAGGTGAAATTAATTGCTGACATAATTTGATCAGTTAAAACCATGTGTAAAAATAACGTATATATATATATATATATTATTTATTATTTTATATCATGTTTTATTTTAATTTTTGTAAAATGTTTGGATGTATGGGGAAACAATGCATGGACTAAAATGTTTCACCAAACCATGTAAATAGGATTGAGGGAGGAAGATGTGAGCCGTCTGTCCTTTCCAGTGATATATGTTCTGTTTGTTGTATAGATTAGGTGTTGGCTGCTCATACATCCTGTAAAAAGATGTTATAGTTAATAGTCAGGATGACTAAAACACTGAAGACTATCACTGAAATGCATCGGTGTCCTCACCTAAGCAGCAGCAGGATGGGAAAGGGGCGTTCAGCTGGCCTGTTAAACTGCACAGTGATCTGAAGAGCTCTCTGAAGGGTCTGTGACGTTATGTTGAACTGATGAGTGTTCACCTGACCGTGCAGAAGAGTGAACCGTGCGTGTGGACTCTGCTGGAACAAAGATAAACACAAATCAGGGTAAACAAATAGAGGAAAACAATTAGGTATCATTAGTGATCAAGCAGTAGAAAGTATCTACATTTGTCTCCTCTTTCCTCTGAAATTCAATAGTAACTGGTGTGGATAGATGTCGGACTTTGATTTCCTTCCTAGTGGTGCAGTTGTAGAGCCGAATGTCTGCTGTCTCTCCTCTGAGCTGTAATGTTGCATTAAATTAGTATGCAATTTGCTCCACATGTTTTTTCAAACTCAGCCATGCATTTCTAGTGTACCTGCACGTGTCTGGACCAGCGGTATGGGCTCTGCCTGTACACTGTGAGCCAGGTAATGACGCAGGGCTTGTGCTGGCTGTTTCTGCTCCATTGCTGAAATTGCATCTCCAGAAAGTCAGTGAGGTGGAACGCAGTGAGCCCAAATGTTTTCACCACAGAATGAGACCGCTCATCCTTCCAGGCTAACACTTCCATGAACATGGTGTTCACATTGTACTGCCAGACATTGCTGGACAGCAAACGCTCCTACGATCAAAATGTACAAGTGTAATATCACAGAATGTCAGAAGGCATCGGTTTAAATCAAAATAAGACTGAAATACAATAACAAAAGCAGGCAAATGTCAAAAGTTTCGAAGTATTTAAAATGTATCACTGAATTTATAATCTGCAAAGGAGTGGAAAAATATGTTCAAATTTTCAATTTATTGAAAAAACTTTACATAAACACGTCCATGAATAAGCTTTTTTCACTAAATATGTAATTTTCTGTCACTTTTTGCTTGTATGATACCCACAGATGTAGCAGAAAATGTCTGGTTCATGTTTGCCTTTTCTTCTGTCACTGGCCATAATTCTAACCTTTTAATCAGAATTAGGCATAAAATAATGTCTTCAGAATCATTCATAAAAAATTGGTTGAGAATTAAACAAATAGTTGTAACCTGGCTCAGTGGAAGATATGAATCGTGTTTTTGTGGCAGCTTTTCTGGTGATTAAGGAATAATACAAGACTTCTTCACCTTACAAATGGTTGTCGAAAACCAAAAATGACGCAAACATTAAAGTGCCATGTGCTAGAACACAACACTATTTTTGGAATCGGCATCCCAAAATTACATTTTAAATAAAACAAAAACAAGCATTGGATTTCATTCAGCAAATATAATGCAGAAATGAACTGATCACGAGATGCATTGTGATCTGGACAATCTGAAGGACTTAATTCATAAAACAATTTCTGTTGATTTTTAACTTCTCAATCAGAAAAGATATCAGCAGGGCATGCTAATGTCATGTGATTTTGTAAACTAACATATCAACATATCATCAGGGATGCTTCTCCTACCAGTACTAAATCAGTGATGGTGTAAAGCACTTTGTTTGTGAGTTGGTGTCCTGGTCTGAAAGAGAGCACTGGAGCCTCCAACACACCAGACAGGAGAGATACCAGTGCTTTCACCATCCCAGTGTCCAGGATATGGCCTGCTGGAGGCTTGGACTCATGTGAGAGGGATGCGATGTGTTGAACATGCTGAATTACTTGTTTGGCACAGTAAAATGTCACCTAAATCAGATATAAGATAGATGAAAAATAATGAGCAAAATGTATGAAACTTTACAAACTGAAACTGAAATTAAATTTAAGTTCTTACTTGACTGGAGACTCTTATCAGATCGGTAAGCCTGTAAATGATTTCAAATAACATTCCCTAAAAAAAAAAAAAAATTATGGGTTATTATAGTTACTAAAACCATCAAAAAACAAAAATAAATACAAAAATCATTACTTGAAATAAAATAAACTTTAACTAAAAAAATTCTAATATATATTATTTTATATATGTAAAACACTTCACTGTCAGCTAGCTGCCAAGACAACATTTCTCATTTTTGTTTAGTTTAAAACAAGTACTAAATTAGTAGTAAATTAGCTAAAACAAAATAAACTAATAAAACTAATAAATAAAAATATATAGAAATATTTGAGAAAAAACTAAAACTCATAAAAATGACAAAAATCACACAACATAATAGTTAAAAATGTATTTAATTAAAGTAAAAACTAAATATAAAAATATAACCTAATTCAAAATATTAGCAAAATTATAATAAATATCAATTATGCTAAAATAATACATGGTTAAAAGTCTTTTTAAATATTGTTTTTATTAGAAATCTCAATTATAGAATCTAAAATACAGTGGCTTTGTCTAGTTAAGACCTTGTCAGTGATGGACAGCTGACAGGCTGCTGTAATGATGGAAGTGCGTGTGAGCGTCAGAAGCTGGACAGAGGAATCTGCATCCAGACTCAAGCGGTTCAGCACCGCTATCAAAAGAGAGATGTAGTTGATGATGTCTCTGCTGCTTCCGATCTTACTCAGACCGGTTAGGTTACCCACTCCATACATGTACCTGGAAAACATAATAAAAGACCATTAAATACATCAGATAAAGATGTGAGAATTAATTTCCTGCATAATTCCATTGTGTCCGCACAGTTCGTGATCAGGGTTGAGCTGAGAGGATGAGTTTCTCTGAAAGCTGGGAAGAACAGTCACTTTCACAGGACATGGTTTGGTCGTTGCTCCAAATCTGTTCTTCATTTCGATATAGATTGTGACTGTGCGGGGAAAACAGAAGAGGGTTTCTGAGATAAGATGTAGCTTGTTTGTGTGAGATTATAATAAAGTCTGCTTCATTGTTAAATCTTTGTACCTTTGTAATCGTCATTAGGATCTCCACTAGGAAGACTAAAGTAATGTTGGAAATCCCTGCCTTCGTAAAGGAGTTTCCTAGGACTGGTGCCCACACTAAAACTGTATTCATACAAGAGATCCTGAACACGGAAACACAATTGCATCAAGATCAGATCAAAGAAAAATTTAAAATATGAATGAAAGGAGCTAGTATAAGACCAAATACCTCTTTTCCAGAGGAGCAGAAGATGCTGAAGTAAGTGTGAATTTCATAGCCTGTGTTGGGCTGCACTTGGCAGCTCATTCCCTCAGGAACAGCTTGAGTGTGGAAGAACAGCTGGCTTTTCCCTTGCAGCCGCTCCTCAGAAACTGGAGGGGAAAAAAGAATAGAAAAATGCAAATAGCATTAGGCCAAAAAAACTTCACAAATATTTAATGCCTTATTTATTTGTTTGTAAAATGAATTTCCATTTTGAATTTCCAAAACTCACTTGCAGACACTTCAAGCAAATAAAGACCCTTTGGTTTAAGCATGAAGGGTTTAAATGTGACAACCGAAGAGGATAATCCTAAAGGGAAAAGACGACAACCAAAGGTTTTTTTTTTTACAGTCCATATGTCAAATGAGTGATTAGGAATGTGTATGTAATTCAATCTTGTGAGATGTACCTGTGAGAGTGTAAGACTCAAACACAGAGTGATGAATGAGCTGTCTGTGCAGATCTAGCAGGGTCTTCTCAGACACCGCCGGGCCATGAAGGCTGGGGTCCACCAGATTATCACCCTCATTGTCATAAGAGTGAGGGAATGATACATTCCAACTAAAGCCCAATGAATTGGTCCCTGACACACACACACACACACACACACACACACACACACACACACAAGACACAGTTAAATACACTACAACATTTAAATACTAGCAATTAGATCATTATTGTTTTTTTTATGCAGAACATAAAAATATGTACCAGTAGGTCTGCCAACTGGGACACCAGGATCAGCCTCTTCAATTCCAAAATTATAGTAATCATACTCTATAAACAGCACCAAAAATCTCATGAGCGACATGCTTATTCAGTATACTGTTTGTTTATTATAATAAAATTCTTAATTTCAGGATGTATAGTCAGGAGGTGTGTTTACTTGAATTGTAAAATACCTGGTAGGGAGAGATGATCGCCCGATATTGACTCCTGATAAACGTCTGTGTAAATCATGTCCTCAGTATGAAAATCTGCAAATGTAGCTCACAAAGTTATTTTATTTATTATTATTGCCATTTATTTAATTGCTTTAAACTTAATTTTATTTCAGCTAGTTGCCAAGGCAGCATTTCTCATGTTTGTGTAATTTAACTTAAAGTACTAAAATAACTAAAACTAATAAAAACTATACTGACATATTTAAAACAATAATAATAGTTACACAACAAAATTAGTTACACAACAACATTTCCCTTTAAAATTAAAGTAAAATCAGAAATATAAAAAATAAACTTTAATTCAAAATATAAACAAAAAACTATTGTGGTGTATCAATGATACTGAAATAATATTGGTTCAAAGTTTCACTTTAAAATTAAAGTGAAATGAGAAATATAAAACATAAACCTTAATTCAAAATATAAACAAAAACTATTGTGGTGTATCAATGATACTGAAATAATATTGGTTCAAAGTTTCACTTTAAAATTAAAGTGAAATCAGAAATATAAAACATAAACTTTAATTCAAAATATAAACAAAAACTATTGTGGTGGTGTATCAATGATACTGACATAATATTGGTTAAAAGTTTCACTTTAAAATTAAAGTGAAATGAGAAATATAAAACATAAACCTTAATTCAAAATATAAACAAAAACTATTGTGGTGGTGTATCAATGATACTGAAATAATATTGGAGTTAAAAGTAATTTTAAATATTGCTTTATTTTATTTTATATTAATCAGTGGCAATCCTGGTGCTGCAAGATTATAACTGACCAAATAAAAAAATGTATATTATTATTATTATTAGGTTGCCATAATGCTCTCATTGAGATAGATAACTGATCTATTATATAAAATATTTTTTCCTCCACAAATTGCTTTTGCCTTCAGCTGTGTTCTTCCCATTTTATCTAAAAACAACAACCACCAGAGGGCGTCTAATCTCATTATATTGTAATCGAAAACATCAACTAGCAATGCTGTACGGAGCTAATTTTGTTTTAAAGCATAAAGACAACAGCTTTGTTATTATAGGTAATCCTAAAAACGTTTACATAATTCATTAATTCACATGATTCTGACTTTAAGACATGATTACTGTCACTCTCACCACAGTATCTCACCTGAGGTCATATCAGTCAATGACACCTTATCTGAGGCTGGTAAAGACCCCGGATACTCCCACTGACTCCCGGACGACTCTGTTTCCCCGGGGAAGGATGGAAGGAAGGGGGGGTGTGAAGACGCGATAGTCGGAAATGCTGCATGGTGGTATGTGCTGAGGTTTTCAATTAGAGTGTGTACGCTAATATTATGGTGTTTTTTATGTATTATTGAAGTCAGAGTATCTTGTGTAACCGGGGCTGTAAAGTCAGTATCATCAGATAAAAGATAAGGAGCTAGAGATACTGGAACGGAAGGCTCAGTAAAATGGGCTGGGGTGTAGGGTGTCACAGCAGGCTGGGAGAAATGTAAGCTCTCCTCCATTTTGGAGGGTAAACCGAGATCCATACTGCTGCAGAACGGAACTGAGAGAAAGAGCAAGAGCAATCAATTTCAAATTGATCCAAAAGCACAAACTAAACAAATGACTTGGTAAATATTAGATGTTTACTTTCTTTAAAATAAAGGTTCCAAACTGGTGTTTTCAGGGTGATTGCAGAAAAGATCCATTTTTGGTTCCCCAAACCTTTTTCCATTATAAGATCAATTGAAAGGTTCTAGGTTCTATGGATGTTAAAGGTTCTAACAATGCCAATAAAGAATCTTTATTTTTAAGAGTGCATTTCTGTATGACTGTGTACTTACTTTCTGGTACAGCTTTGCTTGAGGAATTAACCAGGTAAAGTTTCCAGTAATAGGTCAGATTTTTTGCATTAAAACCACAAGCATCACAGAGAGCAGAAACAGAAAACTGCTCATTCCAATTCACTGCATTTTCTCGGAAATGTTTACAAGACAAATGAATGTTGCTGCAGAGAATTAAAAAAAAAACATATTTATGAAACATGTGATATACACAAACATACTTTGTGCCACTATATTGTGTTTATTGCATATTATGCATTTTTTTATAACCATGTAATTTTAGTTATCCACTTAAATCCCACCTGACATGTTTTGATGTTACAGTGATGAACATCTCAGATGAGGAAGATCGATGGCCACTGTACACGGAGAGAGTAAATTTAAGCAGGTCAAAATCAGGTTTCAAGGAAAGAGCGGGAAATGTAAGTACTGCTGAAGTGGTCACAATGTTCCTGTTGAAACAGCTGCTCTCTTCTGTGTTTACTGGCTTGCATGACCAGCTGTAACTAAAACAGAAACAAGAAAACAGATGTGATTTAAGTAAAAATAACAGAATGTATCAATGAACAAACACTGTTGTACCTTATAGTATTATTAGGGTAATCTGGGTCATGTGATTTCCGTCCATCAAGAGTGACGATGGTGCCACTCAGACGATTGAGGAAAATATTTGTGGCTTCGCTGATGACACTGACAGGATGACTGCGCACCACTTCAATTAAAACACTGTAGTTGCTGTACACCACACTACCGGTTACTTGGACCTTTGTGGTAAATACAACTTGTGTTAGTATTTCCCCGTGTAAATATGTCTATTAAAATGTAGAGCAGTTAAGCTGAAAAAAATTAAAGTAAGCAGCCTTAACCAGCTATCTGATCTGACTCTTGAAATTAATATTGTGGTGCAACCTAAGGTTATAATTTATTTAATAACATCAAATTATATTTTGGAATATATATATGGATATACACTATAGTTGTTTGTGAGTCAGTAAGGTTTTAAAGAAATTAATACCTTTATTCAACAAGGATGCATTAAATTGCATTAAATTGATCAAAAGAGATGGTCGAAACATTTATAACATTACAAAATATTTCTGTTTCAAATAAATGCTTTTGAATCCTGAAAAAAAAAAGATTTTTGTAGAAACCATGATATGCAGTTGTTTTCAGGATTCTTTGACAATACACAAACGTTTTCAACATTGATAATAATAAGAAATGTTTCTTGAGCACCAAATCAGCACATTAGAATAATTTCTGAAGGATCACGTGACACTGAAGACTGGAGTAATGATGCTGAAAATTCAGCTTTGCATCACAGGAAAATATTACATTTTTCAAATATATTAAAAATAGAAAACTGTCATTTTAAATCGCAATAACATTTCTTTCTATTTTTATTCCAATAAATGCAGCATTTGCAAACAACCCCAAAATTCTGAACAGTACAAATATAAATATTTGAATATATTTTAATTATATCAGTTATTTAAATGTTACCATATCAAGTACTTTTTAGATTATCTGACAGAACAATTAAGCAAAACAGTGAAATAACAAAAAATCATTACCTTTGCTATAGCATTATATGTTCCATAATGAAGGAGGTATTTTGGAAGATCAATATACTGCCGTCCCATGTTTATGTGTGGGAAGAGCAGTTGTCGTCCGCTCATGTCATATATAGTCCATCTATACAGCAGACCTCTGGAAACATTGCACTGAATCTGTGCCTCAAACGTCACAGCAAGATGGACAGTTTGATACTGCCACACCTGAAAGTATGCAAGCAAAAACTACTTATATATAGTATATAGACACATTTTTGTTAGTGGTGTCTCCATAGTGTTATTGTTAGAGTATAGTTGTATAATTGTAGCATATAGACAACTTGTACCTGTATTTTATTTGGGCCCATATTTTTCACAGGAGGAGGCTGACATAATTCTTCAACGACAAAGATGTGCCCTGTTAAAGAGGCTGAGCTCACCAGGTTGGACATAATAACTTCTACTATGTATTCTCCAGTTCTATCGAAAAAAATAAAAATAACATGTACAATAAATAAAGAAAATAAAAAACATTCAGTGTCATAAGTGACCAACAATTATGACTGAGGACAAGATTTTGGTGGAAATAACTTACAAATGTAGCTATATATAAAAAATTATAATAAAAACAACGAACGATAAATCATTTTAAAAACAATACAGCCAGGAGAATGCATTTTTTTACCTGTTATAGACATGATGCTCAGTGCTTGATCCATCTCGTTCTGTTCCATCTCCAAAATTCCAGACATACGAGACATCAGTTCCTGCGCTGATCAGGCAGGTGAAGTTCACAAAGCTGTGAGATAAAACTGAGGGACTATACAGAAGCCTGTTGGGCTGCACAGCTCTCTGAATCACGAGCGGATAAACATCTGAGCTGATGGATGTGAGACCATTAGACACACTGACAGTGACACCGTATCTGCAAATATAGATAGGAAAATAAATAAACAAATAAATAGACATAAAAACTTGAATCAGTGAGTGCACAGTCAAACTCACTATCAAAATTAGATTATAATTATAAATAAATAATAAATAAACGTAACTAAATACTTCTAGACATGCAAAGTATTGACTAAGTAAAACATTATATTTAATCTGTATGAAATATGTTAATTGTAAGCTCTTTAGTTTGTGAATGGCAAGTATGAAAATAGATTAAACAAAAAATCAAAAAGTACTTGTCTGGTAAGCGATATTTCTTTTTGTAGATTCTGGATGTTGTTTTTATTTCTGGTCCATCCCCAAATTTCCAATGAAAGTATAGAGGATCAGGCTCTTCTGTTACTGCTACAAATTGAATGTCTGTTTCTGATGCATATGCCCGTTTATCAGAAAAGATCCAAACAGCTGGAAAACACAGCACACATACAGAGCGGAAAAGTATAAAAAGCATTGATAAGTTTGTACAACTGAGTAGCTTTTCTTTATGAATGCATGGGACCTCACACCTCGCTTGTGACTGTCTATGGATTTTGTTGAGGCTTTACCCTGCTGCTTGTCCTCTGCATCTGTGGGCAGAGGGGCACAAGATGGGATATCCTGATCTCTCTTGGACAACATGAGATTCAAGTACTCAGTCCCAAAGGGACATGCTCTAATCTTCCAGCTGGCAGAATGAGTGTAGATACTGTTGGTCACGGTCACATCTAAAAATACAGAGACATATGGTGGTCACAAAAGCTATTTTATTCTTCCCGTATATTTGTTGTTTTGCAGCTAAACATACTTAAATGGTACAATCCAGCAGCATGTAATATCGCATCTATGTAGCAGGTGAGGTATCCGCTGGCCATAACAGATATATTATGCAGACCCTGAGGACCAGAGTTCCCACTAAATGTAATGAAAACCATAGAAAAGTTTTCTTTGCTCAGATTTAGTATGCCTGGAACAAGAACATATACAAGGGATTACATTGCATTGCTTAGCCATAGATAATGATTTGAGAAAAGGATATTGTAAAATATATATTCCTTATATATTAACAATCAAAAAATTATTTAATGTATATTGAAAATATAGGAATAATATATTGTGTTTATATATTACAATATATTAAATACAAAAATAATATATAATATATAATAATATATATATAATATATAATATAATGAAAAATTTAAATTTGTTTTCAGTAAACATTTTTCTCTATACTACTACACATATTTTCATATAAGAAATGTGTAACTATGCAAAAGTGAGATAAAAGTTGGGTTCTTTATTGGCTTCATTGCTATATAATTGTATATGTATCAATATATAACCATACATGACCCATGCATATATTGCATTATACTTAAAAATCTAAGTAAATGTATACTTATATGAAAATGTATTATTTAATATAGTGCAGTATATTTATATTTCCATTTGTTTTTCATTAGCGTCTTTATTTAAGATGTCCAATTCAATTCAATAAATTTAATTAAAAACCCAATTGAATTATAAGCAAGTTACATTACACAAGGGTTGCTATGGCAAGGCTGACAATAACCTGAGACTTCCAGGAGGAGGGGCTTCCCAATCTGCACCCTGTCAGTCAAAGCAGCTACAGTGGCTTCATGAACAGAAGGCCCTCTGCCGCTGTACACTGCCAACCAGCCCGTCTTATTCCCAGAAGGGACATACTCAGTGGAGAAGCATCTGTAGGCAAATAAAAACCAGACCTTCTTCTCAATACCAAACATTAAAACACAGAAACTTATCTGCAGGTCTTGAATCAATGAGTGAGCAGTTAAACTCATTATATTATATGAATATTATAATATAATATTTATGAATATT